TTTTTTTTTTTTTTTTTTTTTTTTTTTTTTTTGGTTTTTTGAGACAGGGTCTCATTATGCAGTCCAGGCTGGCCTTGAACTCATGGCGATCCTCCTGCCTCAGCCTCCCAAGTGCTGGGATTACAGGCATGAGCCACCACACCCAGTTATTTGTCCTTTTCACAGCTGCCATTTGCTGACAATTATTTTAGATGTTTGCAGTAAAGAAAGAAAAAGAAAGAAAGAAGAAGACTGTGGGAGGAGCACACTGAGGTCAGACCACAGAGGTCCCTCTCACACTGAGGAGCTCAAGCTGCCACTTGTGGGCACTGGTTACCATGTTGGACAACACATCGGCAGGTTCTGTTAGTGCTAACTTAAACTCTTGAAGGATTTTTATCTAAAAGGTACTTTGGGGGAAGTTGCTTTTCATTTTGTTTGTTTTTGAGGCAGGGCCTCATGATGTAGTCCAGGCTGGCCTTGCTCAGGTTGGCCTTGAACTCATACAGATCCACCTGCCTCAGCCTCCCAGGTGCTGAAATTGCAGTCATGTGCCACTGTCCACCAGCTTCCCTGGATAATTCTGACACTCAGCAAATCTTAGGATGCCTGACTCTTCAGAGTCATCTGTGACATCTTTTAAAAGTTATATTCCTTGGCATTGCAGTCAGACTTTTGTTTTCCTTTTTTTTTTCTGTTCTGCTTATTCACTAAGTCTAAGGTAGAGTACCGGCAGCTACAACTTTTTATTTGTTTGTTTTGAAACTGGGGATCAAACTCAGGACCTTGTACTTGCAAGGCAGGTGCTGGAACCACTGAGCTAAATCCCCAGCCCAAGGGCAGGTATAATTTTGAAAGTGCTGGAGATAATTCTGAAGAACAATTGGAATTAAGAACCATTTCTCTGAAAGAGCAAATGTGTTCTTTCCTTGTATCTCTCACATATTTGGTGTGTACTGGGAAACAAGTGTATCTCCAAAGCAGTCAAAGAGAAAGTCCCTAGAACCCAGGCCTGGGGCGCACACCGTAACCCCAGCCCTTTGGGAAGCTGGAACAGGAAGATGGTGCATTCAAACCTAGCCAGGGCAACTTAGTGACTTAGCGAGACACCGTCTCAAAATAAAATAATAAAAAAGGCCTGGAGCTCAGTACAGGGGCCCTGGATTCAATTTTCAGGACCACCACAAGAAAAAAAAAAAAAACCCTAGAAGGCCACAGGAAGGTTAATACCAGTTCTCCCTCTTCTGAAATAACAGTGAATCTATAGGCAGAAACACAGATTGCTCTCGCTTTTGCGAAACAAACCACAAGCTTTAGTTTGTAGGAAATGTAAAAATGTGCCCAGAACCGTGATCTCCGAACTGCTGTCCCGCCGCCTGTCCATAAGCAGCGGGCTCGCAGTGTGGCTGTGTCTCTGTGTGTTCACCAGTTCTGCACAGTGTGGGCCATAAGGTCACAGAAACAGGCTCAGGGGAAATGGAAAGTAGATACAGAAAAGGTCGGTCTGTCTGTCTGTCTGTTTTTGGTACCAGGGATCGAATTCAGGCAGGCGGTGGCGGCACCACTGAGCTAAACCACCACCGGTTTTTAAGACAGGCTCTCATTATGTAGCCCAGGCTGACCTTGAATTTGCAGCAATCCTCCTGCCTCGGCCTTCTGAACACTGGGATTACAGGGATACACCACCACTCCCAGCATGAAATTTAAATTTTACTAGGAAAACCTTTTTTGTTGTTACTTAAAAATCAGTCATAACTTGTCAGCCCTGCTAAGGCCTGAGGAGAGCAGGGGACGGTGTGAGATGCAGGTCGGCACCTTGCCGGGTGTCTGGCTGGGGATGCAGGAGCCAGCAGCTCCCTCACTTCTCTTGGCCGTTGCTCTGTGGGGATCTTGGAGACACTGTTGATCTCGTGCAGTTTATTTTAATTAAACGTGGCTTTAAAAGCCACAGCTTCCCTTAAGCAAACAGGTAGACACTAAACTGGGAACCCTATAGGGCGGAGAGCAGAGGGAGGGCGCAACTCTGACACTGTTCTTCTGTCCTGTGTTTGCTGTAATCTCCAGAGGAGCTGCCCGTCAGGTCCAGGCTTCGCTGCTCCAGGCCGAGGCGGCGCGGTCCTGGAGGAGGCCTGGTGCTGAGGTGCACGTCTCAGCCTCCTCACCCTCGCTCTGCTGTTTTCTGCAGCTCTCTTCGCGGAAGTCAGTGCCGTGGATTCCCATTTTGAAATCACTGCCGCTCTGGGCTGTCGTCGTGGCACATTTTTCTTACAATTGGACTTTTTATACCTTACTGACCTTGCTGCCTACTTACATGAAGGAGATCCTGAGGTTCAATGTCCAAGAGGTAAGAACCAAGACCGCCTGCTTCACATACAGAACATTCCGTTAAAGCGCCTGGCCTCTACAAAGCAGTCAGTTTTCCTCTGCCCTGCTCAGTGTTAGGCTTCTGTTTGCCCCCGCTGTTGCTCCTTCTCTTCCCAGGGTGCGCTTTGATTGTCCTGTGCTGGTGATGGATCCCAGGGTCTCCGTGTGCCCAACATGTGCTCTTCCTGTGAGCTGCATGCCCAGAGCTGTGTACTCTTAACCCCAGGTGTCTCATCTGACAGTCCTTAACTGTCACATCATGACACCCAATGCACAAGTGGCCCAAGAGGAAGATGGACATACTGAACTTCAAAATTGAAAACTCCTGCCAGGTGTGGTAGTGCACATCTGTAATCCCAGCACTCAGGAGGCTGAGGCAGGAAGATCACTGCAAGTTCAAAGCCAACCTGAAGTACACAGTGAGACCCTGACTTAAAAACTCTTGTGCATCAAAGGCCAGCCTGAAAGCGTATCAAGACCTGGTCTCCAAAAAACTCTTGTGTGTCAAAGGACACTGTCAAGAAAATGAGCCAGCCATGGTGGCGCACGCCTGTAATCCCAGCTCTCAGGAGGCTGAGGCAGGAGGATCACTGTGAGTTCGAGACCAGCCTGGGCTACATAGTGAGTTCCAGATCAGTCTCAACTACATAGTGAGACCCTGTCTAAAAAAACCAAAAAGGAAAGAAAATGAAAAGGCAACCTATTGAATGAGACAAAACATTTTAAAGTTTTAAATTTGATAAGGGTCAAATATCTAAACTATATTAAGAATTCTTACAACTTAGCCAGATGTTGTGGTGCGCGCCTATAATCTCAGCGTTCAAGAGGCTGAGGCAGGAGGAGCGCCATGAGTTCAAGGCCAGCCCCAGCTACATAGTGAGTTTGAGGCCAGCCTATACTATATTAGCAAGACTCTGTCTCAAAAAAAAATTTTTTTCTTACAACTCAATAATAAAAAAGACAACCCAGTTTTGGGGGGTTTAGTTTTGTTTTGAGACAGGGTTTTGTTGTGTAGCCTAGGCTGGCCTTGAACTTGTGGCAGTCCTGGTGCCTTAGTGCTGGGATTACAGAGGTATGCACCATGCCCAGCTTAGAAAGACAGCCCAGTTTTTTAAATGGGCAAAAAGACTCAAAATAGCATTGCTCTGAAGATACACAGATGGCCAGTAAGCACATGTAAAGATGCCGAGCCTCATTAGTCATCAGGGAAATGCAAAGCAAGCCCAGAAAGAGATGCTGCTCACACCTGCTGGGATGGCCGTTACACACATGCACACGCACAACTAGCAAGTGCTGAGGACACAGAGGAAGTGGCTCAACCGCACATGGGTGTAGCAGTGTAAAACAGCTGCTTTACCAAACACGGTGTCTCTTCCTAAAAAAGTCAAACCCAGACTTGTATGACCCAGCCGTTCTATTCTGAGACCCATAGCCAAGAGAATGGAAAACAGATCCTCGCAGGGCATGCAGCTCAGTGATAGAGCGTTTCCCAGATGTATGAGGCTCTGGGTTTGTCCCCGACCCTGACACAGGAAATGTGAATAGGGTTCGGAATACATGGCTGTATACATGCGTCTGCGTGCGTGTGCGTGCGTGTGTGTGTGCGTGTGTGTGTGTTCCCCTCCCTGGGACTGAACCCAGGGCCTTTGCCCTGAGCTACACCCTCAGTTTGCTTGCTTGCTTGCTTGCTTGCTTGCTTTCTTTCCTTTTGCGGCACTGGGGATCGAACTCAGGCTTACGAGGCAGGTGCAGTGCCACTGAGCTAAATCCCTGGCCCCATTTTTTATATTCTGAGACAGTCTCACTAAGTTGTCCAGGCTAGACTGGAACTAGCCTCCCAGAATGTTGGCATTACAGGCATGTGCCATCAAGCCTAGTTTAATGTTTGGTTTGGTTGGGTTGGGTTTTTGGTTTTTTTTGAGACAGGGTCTCGCTATGTACTTGAGACTGAACTCACTATGTAGCCCAGGCTGGTCTCAAACTCACAGCAATCCTCCTGCCTCAGCCTCCCGTATGCTAGGATTACAGGCATACACCACCACACCTGGCTAATGTTTTGTTTTTAAATCAATATTTTTGCAAAATGGCCTTTGTTCAAAATAAAGCTTGCTTTGAGAAGCGTGCTATTTTAATTATTTAAAATAAATTATTTTAAATTATAAATTATTTAAGTTCTCTTTTTTATTTTTTATTTTATTTTAGGTTTTTTTCTGGTACTGGGGATCCAACTTGGGTCCTTGTGCTTGCGAGGCAGTCAGTGGAACCACGGAGCTGAATCCGCAGCCCTATTCTCTCATTTAAATGATTAAAGCTCTATGTCTTGTTACAAGCTTGGGTTTTTTTGTTTTTTTTTTTTTTCATAGAAATTTAGTTTCATTAGATTATCATCACTTCTTTCCTAGTTTTTTTTTTCCCCAATTTTGTATTCCTAATTCTTAACAACTTAAAAAGAGTTGAGGTGATATATATTCCCTTTTGGGATATTAATATTTTTTAATCAGTTTCTTGTTTTCTTTGCTCTTGTGGTACAGAAGATCGAACCCAGGGCTTTGCATATGCTAGGCAAGTGCTCTACCACTGAGCTACACCCCAGCCCTTTTTTCTTTTGAGTCGGGTTGTCGCTAAACTGGCCAGGCTGCACTTGAACTTCTAATCCTCCTGCCTCAGCCTACTTAGTGCTGGGTTTACAGGCATGTTCAACCACATCCACCCTCAGGATTATCAGTTTTATTCCACAGGGAAGTAGATCAGAAAACTCACCTCACTGGTTTGTTACAGTTTGTGCGTGTGGGACTTGCCACAAATAGTAGGTGTAGCTGGGCCGGATGCCGCACCTGCCTCACACATGCAAGGTCCTGATTGGATCCCCAGCACCCCCAAAATAGATGCAGCTGGTGTGGTGGATGCACACCTTTAATCCAGGGCTTGGTGAGACCCTGTCTCAAAATAAAAGATAAAAGCTGGGGTTTAGCTCAGTGGTGCCACCATCTGCTTCGCAAGCACAAGGTCCTGAGTTTGATCCCAGGTACCGATCGATTGATTGATCGATAGATAGATAGATGAATGATAGATAGATAAAAGAAAAGGGCTGGGATGTGCCTCAATGTGAAATCCCTGGGTTTAATCTGCAATATTAGAAAAAAATTTAAATAACCAAAGAATCAAGATTTAGCTCCTTATCTTGACCTATGTGGTTCTTAGAATAACCATTAATCTATATATTTTATTTGTGTGGTTTTCTGTGGGTACATTTTATTTTATAATAAGAATTTTAAATACAATATATAATTTTTTATTTTGTTAAATAAATAGTCCTGAACACAGAAACTGTTCAATGGTGAGAACCCACAGGCTAATCCAAAGGCCTGTGTCTCCCAGAAGCAAATTCTGGGACAGCCAAGATCGCAGGGAGCGGGCAAGAGGCACAGGCTGTGTCTGGTGGAGACAGGCTGCATCCTGGAGTCCCTCAGAAGCCACTTCCGTTCCCTGCAATTCTATAAACCCGAATGCTGTACTGCTGCGTGTTTCTTTTGTTTTCACGTGCTGGTGGTTAGCTGTGGTCGTGCCCAAGCAGGTGGCTTTTTCCTTTCCTTGTAATTACTCCTAGTTCCTCCTGTCCCTTGCAGAACGGATTTCTGTCTGCGCTGCCCTACTTTGGCAGTTGGCTATGCATGATCCTGTCCGGTCAGGCCGCCGACAGCTTAAGGGCAAAGTGGAATTGTTCGACTCTCTGTGTTCGCAGGACTTTCACACTTATAGGTAAGCCAAGTTAATCGGCTATGCTTACTGGGGTAGGGATTCCTTCCCCTCTCACCTGCAGTGCACTCACTTAATCCAGGAAGCCCTTACCTGGGTCAGCAGCTCAGCAGTTCCCCTGAGACACCCCACACGCAGGCGTCCCACAGGGCCAGTCCGGCTGCCCCTTCAAGTCCTGCACGTCAGGGTGCGACCTGCCCTTCTGAGCACTCTAACCAGGCCTCCCACGACCCCCGGCTGGTAGAGCGGCTCCGGAGCCTGGGGAGGCCTCACTGAGTGAGTCCCTGGCCTGCAGCTTCCGTCCCTCCGGAGATGGGGAGGCAGGGAAGTTCCACCCATGAGTCCCGCTTGGTCTCCGGTGACCACTCTCCGTCTGGGTCAGTCTTCTGTTAGCAAAACGGAATGTTCTTATCGCGTCAGAGATTCCAAGGATTTTAGGGACTGTGTGCCTAGAATCGGGCAGAAACCAAGTACGTATTCCTTCTGCCACAATATCACAACAGCACAAGGAGAATTTTTAAGAAGACGTTTATTTTGTTCACGTATTAAACACTATGATGCATTTTGTCTGCTTCTGTACATGGTGGCTCTTTGAGCCATGTATTTTGAGAACTAAGATTTACAGTATTCTAGCTGGACATTAAGATTTACAGTATTCTAGCTGGACATAGTAGCACAGTCCTTGTAATACTAGTACACTAGGAGGCTGAAGCAGGAAAATCACAAGTTCAAGCCTAGCCTGGGTAACTTACCAACTTAGCAAGACCTTGTCTCAAAATGTAAGTTTTTTTGGTACCAAAAATCGAACTCAGGTCCTTGTGCTTGCGAGGCAGGTGGTAGAACCACTGCACTAAATCCCTGGCTCAAACTATAATTTTTTTGAGACAGGGTCTCGCTCTGAAGTTCAGGCTGACCTTAGACTCACTGTGTAGCCTAAGCTGGCCTCGAACTCAGCAGTTCTCCTGCCTCGGCCTCCTGAGGGCTGGGATTACAGGTGTGTGCCACCACGCCAGGTGCATTTCTAAGGTTTTTTTTGTGAATGATGTCAGTTCCATGTTCAAACAGCAGGTAGCGTCAGTGTCCACATTTCTGCTCCATGCCACTTTAGCTGGAGCAAATGTGATTGGTGGTGCTGCTTTTCCAACTTTTCCCTCCAGGGATGATTGGACCCGCGGTCTTCCTGGTGGCTGCTGGGTTCATAGGCTGCGACTCTTCTTTGGCTGTCGCCTTCCTGACCATATCAACAACCCTGGGAGGCCTGTGCTCTTCCGGCTTTAGCATCAACCATCTGGACATTGCACCTTCGTGAGTACGGTTATAAAGATTTTCTGTGATTGGCTTTGACTTCTTTTTTTACATTCATGGTAAAATATATGTAACATAAAATCTGCCATTTTAGCCATTTTTATGTGTGTGGGTCTGTGGCATGAAGAGCGGTCCCGTTGTTGTGTGACCACCACTATCCACAGTCCCTACCCAATTTTCATCTTCCACAGTCGAGACCCTGTGTCTCCTAAACACTGTCCGTTCTCCTCCTCCCACGTCCTGGCATCTCTCATTCTACTTTCTGTGAATTGGACTTCAAGTTCTTTATAAGATTTCAATTTACACAAGTTTTATTGGCAACTTATGATGCAAAGTATTACATTTTTAAACTTCTAAACTTTTTTGTTGTTGTTATCGGGACCGTGTGCTTTCAAGGCAGGCAGCAGAACCACTGAGCTGAGTCCCTGGCCCAAAACTTACAAACTCTGAAAACAAGGTAGCTGAGGCTAAATAAGAGCTTTCCAAAGCTGAGTGTGCTCACTGGAACTCAGTTTTTCTGCCTGAAATCCGAAACAACTCCTGCGGCTCCTTGGTGGGAACGACTGCTCTGACGCTCCGCTCTCAGTGGGTGACGTCCCTTTTCCTCCGTGGTGTGGGCTCAGGAAGTCTCGGGGGCACTGCGGGATGCGTGCAGAGGTCGGGAAGCCGTCCCTGTCCTCGCTGTCCGTCCCCTCCATGGCATGGACAGGCTCGCCACGCTGTGCTGGCTTCACCCACAGGAAGAAGGCCCGGTTGGCTTTGAGCTGCAGGCGCCGCCTGATGATCTTGATGAGCTTGCGCGTGTTGACATGGTCGGGGCGAGGAACTTGGTTCTGGGAAGGACAGAGAGCTGCTTCTCGCCCTTGTATCGTTCTGTGATCACCGGATCTTGGTGGAGCGCTGCTCCCGGAAGAGCCGAACATCTTCCACTCTTTGTTCGAAGGTGTGGCGCTGCTTGAAGATCTTTTCCCACGTTGCGCTGGGGCCCTGAGTTTCCAGGGGCTCCTATCTCTGGCCTCAGCAACTTCCCTTCCAATTTACACAATAATGGAAGCATGAAATTCTTTGTTTCTTCTGGCACTAGGGATTGAACCCAGGGCCTTTCCTGGAGCTGTATCCCCAGCCTTGTTTTGTCTTTTGCTTTTTGAGGGTTTTTTCCTATTTTATTTTGAGTCCTGGCCTTGCTGAATTGCCTGGCCTGCCCTCGAATTTGCAGTTCTCCTGCCTCAGCCTCCTGAGTAGCTAGAATTATACGTGTGCATCACCATACCCAGCAAATTTAAACTCTCACCTACCATCACCTCTGTCCACCGTGTTCTCATAAAAACATTACAGTGAAACATAATATGCCGTGCCTTCATCCAGCTAGACTAGGGACTCTGGAGCCAGAGGCTGCCCTCCGGCCCACCCTGGGTGCCAACGTAACTGTTAGCACGGAGCAGGCGCCAGGTCCCTTAGAGAGGTCGTCTCCTTCACTCCGGTGAGGTAGATGAGAAGAGGCTAAGAAAGGCTGAGAAAACTCAGGTTCAGTGCAAGTAGGGGGCTTGTTACAGTTGCGGTGGAGCCATAACCTGAAGCTGTTACTCATACTTTTAAACCGAAAGTCTCCACCGCTACCTCTCTGGAGGCATTCTCTGAGCCACAGTCGTCTAGATTTCTTTTTGCCCGGTGACAAGGTAAAGGTGGGGGTGTGCAAACATTTTAACCCAGAAGATTTAGTGTACTTAGCTTCTGAAAGCAATGAGCATGATTTATCTTTGGAGAACAGAGGTCTCCTCACCTCTCGCCCCAAACCCTTCACACCTGGACTTCGGAATCCGCGGATTCCGCTTGGCCCTCAGCCTCCCTGCCCACGGTCCCTCGGGGCGAGCTCCGCTCCGAGCTTCGCAGAGTCCAGCAGACCTCTGACACCGTCCTCCTGTACTCTCCCTTTCTGCACTGCCGGGGTCCAGCCTCGGCGAGAGCTCAGGCCCTGAGGAGGAGGGTTGGAGCCGGTGCTTATGAGGAATGAGACACACTCCACTCTGTAGGGGTGAGGGGCTGTGCCTCCCCGACATTGGAGGACGTCTTTATTTATATCGTACAGTAGAGGTAACGTACGGAAATTGGCATACGTTTGCAACTTCTAGATAAAAACGTTTAAGATCATTTTTCCAATAAACTATAGCACATACCTATTTTATTATTGTTATTTCTGGGAACATTTTATCTATTGCCTCAGCTATTATTAATCAAACAATTTCCTAGTAAAAGCGTAAATGAAAGCAAAATCAAAAGAACAATCCAAGCTTGCCACCATTTTTCAAAGTTCATACGTCTATTTCGGCTACAATGGAAAGACTGTGGCCAGCTCTTAGCAGGTCACTAGGTTTTAATAAGGAACTACTGTGGTTATTCAACTTCTCAGTTAAACTTTTGTTTTATATAGTCAGAAAGCAAGTATTGTGCACTTACTAAGCCTTTCTGTAATAACTATTCGGCTGCCTGGCGGTAGTATTTACTTGTTCTTTAGAGCGTAGACATCACTGTGTTCCTGAACGTTTCATTCTTTCTGCAAAGGGTAAATCTTGATGTCTTACTCATTTTTCATCTTTTCACACCATTCTAACTTCATCTGTGTAAGCCCCAGTGTAGGAAACGGGGTTGCCTAGTGGCCATGAGATCGCTCACTCTACCATAAATGTTTGAGCACCTCTCTGGGGTTTTTATAAGTAACTGGACGCTCGGAAGAAAGCTGGGGGGCTTTTGTGGGAGTGAAATCCTCAATTATTGAAAACTACAAACCCCTTCAAAGCAAGTCCCCTGGGTCAGGGGTCGCACTTAGGGGCTCAATGACTGACACGTATTTCTCAGAAGTAGCTTGTACAGGTTTTTCATTAAAACCAAATTTCCCGTAATTACAATTAAGCCAATCAAAAGTACAGGCAAAAATAAAAGCCAGAGTGATGCTTTCATACCGAGGTCCGTCATTGCTGGAACTTTGTCAAGCAGCAATAGAGGAACCGTGGGCCTCACCATTATACAAAGTTCAAGAAGGTCCCACAGGTCTTCCTGTGCCCATTCCTGGCTGAGACTGAGGCCATTCAGTGCCTTCTGCTGAGCTGCACAGCACACTCGGGCTGCGCCCTCCCTAGGTCACGTCTCGGGTCTTTCTGGAGCTTTGTAGACTGTCCTGCTTGCTTTCTCCCCGTGTCCTTCCCTTTGATCCCGTGTATAGTCTTGACTGCCTTATCTTGATTTTGTTTCTATGTGTGCCTCTCAGCTTCCTGGTCTACCTAAGGTGGGTGGGAGCAGCTTGAGACTAAAACATTCTAAATATCCACATGACAGCCCCTGGCACAAGGAGATGCAGAGCCAAAAGAAATAGTCTATTGCAATGAGATTTTGCTCGTTAAGACATTGTGTCATGGTGGTGCATGCCTGTAATACCAGCTACTCAAGAGGCTGAGGCAGGAGGCTCTCAAGTTGGAGGCCACCCTGAGTTACATAGTAAATTTAAGGCCAGCCTGAACTACACAGTGAGACCCTGTCTTAAAAAATAAAATATGTGGCTGGGAGTTTGGCTCAGTGGTTCCACTGCCTGCCTCACAAGTGCAAGGGCCCGAGTTCAATCCCTGGTACCAAAAAAGAAAAATTAACTAATTTATTAATTTAAATATGTTGGGCCAGGGATTTAGCTCAGTGGTTCTTACCACCTGCCTCACAAGCAAAAGGTCCTGAGTTCAATCCCTGATACCCTCCCCCCCAAAAAATAAACAGTTGAAAAAATAAAGTATATTTATTGAAATTGTCAAGATGAGTATAGAGAAGCTAAAAGCAAATTAACTTCAAGGAAACTTAGTTAAATTTAGTGGTAATCTGAAAGATCAGATACAAACATAACAAATAATAAAGAATCCTTCAAATCAGTATTATGCTATAGAGTATAACATAGTATCAGGTACTGACTTGGAATCGAACATATTGGGTAGAACTCTGTAAGTCTCTCTTCATCTGTAAGTGGAGGTGATAATCCCTACTTCCTGGTGATGCTTTTACTCTTAAATGAGATAGTATATAAAAAGTATTTAAAAGCACTGGGCGTGGTGGTACACTGCTGTGATCCCAGCACTCTCGGAGGCTGAGGCAGGGAGATGACAAGTTCCAAGCCCAGCTGAGCAACTTAGGGAGACTCTGTCTAAAAATAAAAAAACATTAAAAGGACTGCGGGGCCGGGGAGTTAGCTCAGTGATACTGAGCCTGCCTTACAAGCTCGAGATCCTGAGTTCAACCCCTGGTGAAAAAAAAGAAAAACGGACTGAGAATGTAGCTCAGTCCAGAGACCTTGGGTTCACTACAGAAACAAAAAAACCCCCGCAACCATGCTTGATGTGGGGTGTCCCAGTGTACAGACAGTCCACATCCCTATTAGCATATAGTCTTATCCATGGTGTTTTCCAGTCCTTTTCTTCCATGGGTTAAAATAGAGATTTGTTTATGGGTCATTTTGTTGTCCAGATGTAATGAAATTGGGTGGATTTCCAAGTATTTCCTCCACCGAGCCCTGGTATTGGACAGCAGAGTCCAGGCCAGGCGCTGCACACTCCCTCGAGTGTCTCAGTCTTCCTGGCCTGCCCCCGGCCGAGTGTACTATAGGTACTGGCCAGTAGGACTTCACAGGGTCTGCTGAACTATTATCTGTCCTTGAAAAGACCTGGCAACCAGGAGACCGGCTCCTCCCACTGCCAAGGTGTGAATGGTTTAGAGAGGGAGAGGGGCAGTCAGGCCCCGCCAAGTTTACTGAATTTAAACTCCACTCCCTGAGGGGAGAGAAGCCAAAAAGATCTGGACCTTGTGGTTTTCTTACTGTATCGTGTATGTGTGGGTTGTTTTTTAAGTTAATTTTATTGGTACATTTAAGGTATACAATATCATAACACATCATTGGAAATTTGCACCTTTACATAATCCATCTTGGTTCTTATTTCATGTGTGGGTTTTAAACATAAAATCTGGGATGTTGGGCCCAGGATTTAGCTCAGTGGTTCTGCTGCCTGACATGCAAGCGCAAAGACCCAAGTTCGATCCCTGGTATCAAAAATAAATTAATTAATTTAAAAAATAAAATCTGGGATGTTCATAGTTAACTGAATTAAGTTTAGCAGGATTTTTTTCATATATGTATTTTTTTTTAGTACTAGTGCATGTCAATGTTATAGCATATTGGGTTTTAGTGTGGTGGGTTTTTTTGTTTTTTTTTTTTTCTGTTGTTTGTTCTTTGGGGTTGGTTTGGTTTGGTTTTTGCGACAGGGTCTTGCTATATTTTTCAGGCTGGCCTTGAACTCACTAGGTAGCTCAAGGTGGCCTGGAACTCCTTGGCGATCCTCATGACCCTCCTGCCTCAGCCTCCTGAATGATGGGATTACAGGCATGCGTCACCATACCCCAGCTGCTTAACTACATTGTTTAGAAACTAAACTCCTCTACCACCTTTAAGTTTTCTTCCCAAAATATCAAACTGAATTTATTCAGTGAGTCATCTCTAGAGTCAGAGGCAAGATCCTTCCAGTATTCTGGAAATACATGGGACATAAAATTACTTTAAATGATAACTTGCTGAGAATGGTAATAAACACCTATAATCCCAGCCCTCAGGAGGCTGAGGCAGGAGGATCACTGCAAGTTCAAAGCCAGCCTGGGCCACACAGTGAGTGCATAAGCAGACTCTGTCTCAAAACAAACAAACAAAATAATCACACATCAGGGATGCAATCTGCAGAACCCAGGATATAGGAATATTTGCAGTAGGGGCACTGTGGTTTCTTCCTTTAGAGACAACAATGGAGATAAATGAACCAGGCGATCTATGCTTTGTAAGGGTGCTTAGAGCCCCAGGGGGTCATCGGAATGCCCCCTGCTCTAGGAATGCTCAGATCTCACTCCTCCTGGGATCCAACAGGGTGCTGGCCACGGAACTAAGCTGTCCCAGCCAGCGGCCGGAGCCCGCGGTGCTCGGGGAGAACAGGCGTGGCCTGGGCCAGGCAGGACAGGCGTGAGGAGGGGCCCTGGCACCGTGGTGAGCTGGAGGACGACTGCGCGTAGCCCTAGCTCCAAGGACCCGTGTCCGAGACAGCAGCCCAGCGCGACGCACTTCGGCCGCGGAGGGGCGTTCAAGGTCCAGGCAGAGGCCTGGAGAGCAACTTAGCAAGACAAGACTGTGTCTCAAAACAAAACAAAAAAGGAGTGAGGGGCCGGAGATTTGGTTCCACCTCCCACCTCACGAGCACAAGGCCCTCAGTTCGATGCCTGGTACAGAAGAATAAGGTGGGGGGACGGACAGTGTAGCTCAGTGCAGAGGCCCTGGGTTCAGTCGCCAGGGAGACGCGCACACCAGCAGACATGGTAACGGTCGTGACAGGCACAGGGCTGGGCAGATGTGCGCTGGGACCCCTGCGCCGGGTGTAAGGCGCGTGGTCACTGCAAGTCCAGGTCGTTTCTTTCCTTTTTTAAGCAAAACCTTTATCGGTTCATTTTAGACATACGTAATGATAGCATTCACACGAGGAATTTGTCTCTGCACATGATCGAGCTTCCTGCTTTTTTCCCGTCCCCCCTTCTACCCCTCTTCCCCTCCTGGTCACAGAAATTTTGTTTCCATTTTACCCTTCTTTTCTCTATTTTCCTTGTCCGTTCTTTCCCTCCCCACCTCCCTTCCTTGTTCCCCTTCTCATTTGAACGTTTTCTGCCCATTCCCCAGTATTTATTATACATGTGGGTCCTTATTTCCGCTTTCAGTTTCTCACACCAGAAAAACAATGCGGTATTTAAACGTATGTCTGATTTGTTTCACTTCCGAGTATGATCTCAAAGTGCATCCATTTAACTAGAAATATCTCAAGTTTACCCTTCTTTATGACAGAGAAGTACTCCATTGTGTTAAAAAAAAATCTTCTTTATCTATTCATTGATTGATGGGCATTCGGGCTGTTGTCAATATTTAGCTATTACAGACTGTGCTGCTGTAAATACGGGTGCCCATGTATCGCTGTGGTGTGATCCTTTTAATTCTTTGGGAAGATACCCACAAGGGAAACAAGCTGGGTCGAATGGAACCTTTGTGTCATTTCTCTGAGAAGTCCCCACACTGAGTCCCACCAGTCTGGACCCCCACCAGCAGCGCAGAAGGGCTCCTCTCTCCCCACGGTCCCGCCGCATTGGTTGTGGGTTGATTTCTTGATAGCGGCCATTCTGGGGTGAGGTGGAACCTCAGCGCTGTTTTAACTCACGTCTCTCAGGACCAGTGATGTGGAGCGTGTTTTCATGTACTTATTTCCCATTCTTACTTCACCTGAGAGGTGTGTGGGTGGCAGACGCTCCTGGGGTTCTGTGATCGGGAGCTGCTGGCTCCCCTGTGCTGACCGGTGGGGTGTTCAGCAGGGATCCAGCGGGGGCCGGCCGCTCCCCGAGGTCACACAAGCCCCAGAGCTGGGCTGCCTCGAAGCTTCGCTTCCCGCTGACGGCTCTACTGCGGCTTCTCTCGATCTGGTCTCTTTCTTGTGGCACGGGGCTCCCTGGATATATTGGCGCTGCGGCCTTCCTCGGTCTGCAAAGTTCCTCCCATATTATCCAGGGGCGAAATCGACAGGCAGTTAGCATTTCCCAAATACAGGCAGAAATTCTTTCAAGATTTGCTTCTAAACGTGGAGACCATCTCCACTCCTCTGAGATTTACCCTTAACATAAGTCGCTGCATTTGAGAAACGGCATCTAGGTTTCTTAAAAATACCTTTTCTGTCATACATGCGTACAACTTGCCTGCGAGGACAATGTGCAAAGATTTAGCTATAAGCAAACACGTAAAACAAGTGATTACAAATTTTCAGTTGTGAATATGATCTCATTTTATGTTTGTAAACAATTGGGATATTTACCAGAGGCATCTCCGTGTGGAAGACTCGCAGATACAGTGTTGCCAACTGTCACAGGTTGTACTGTGTGAGACCCCCTTTGTCAGACTTAGGAACTAATCCGGTTTACGATCGTTCTCCCAGAACTGAACTCGTAAGTCGGGGACTTACTGTAGTTTTATTCTCTTAGTTTTTTTTTTCCTCTTTTATTTAATTTTCAATAATTTTAATTTTCTAATCAGGACATAAATTTTTCCCCTTAATATCTCAGCTAGGGATGAGCACAGTGACGACACCTGTAATCCCAGCGCTGAGAAAGCTGAGTCAGGGGATCACCGTGAGTTTGAGCTCAGCCTCACCTGTAGAGTGAGATCAACTCCACCTGAATTATGTAGTGAGGCCCCATCTCACTACAAACAAATAAAATATTTAAGCTGGATTCACCAAGCTTCCTGTTCAGATAAGGTCATGTCATGTATATAAAATTTTGTCAGCATAATTCTCTATGTTGTTTTCTTTCTTTCTCTTTTTCGGTACCAGGGATTGAATTTAGGACCCTGCGCTTGCAAGGCAGGTGGTGGCACCACTGAGCTAAATCCCTGGCCCTTATTTTATTTTATTTTTGAGACAGGGTCTCACTGTGTAGCCCAGGCTGACCTTGAACTCACAGTGATCCTCCTGCCTCAGCCTCCCGAGTGCTGGGATTACAGGCAGGCATGAGCTACACACCCAGTAGCACTATTCTGTATCAGCCATTCTGTATCAATGGCTTTGGGCCTTTCTGTAATATTAAAATCCTGACTAGTTGTGGAAATGCAAAAATTTCACCTGCTGTGTGTGAAATCCTAGTTCAGTAAGTCATTTCTCTGAGACAAGAAGTTTCGCGGTGTCCAGTGCTGGGTGAAAAGAACCGCTGTGGTGTGAAAGCCAACACCGCGCCTCTGGACCTGTCCCCCAGGTACGCCGGGGTCCTGCTGGGCATCACCAACACGTTCGCCACCATCCCGGGCATGGTCGGGCCCGTCATTGCCAAGAGTCTGACCCCTCACGTGAGTAGACACTGCTCACAAACTGAAAAAGTTTGGGAGCTACAAACCACCTGACAGAGTTGAATAGATTTTAATGGTAAAATTCTGCATATTTTTTCTCATTAAATTCTTTTTTGTGCTTTGTTTTGTAATGGAGATTGAACTCGGGACCTTGTGCTTGTGAGGTAGGTGACGGCACCACTGAGCTAAGTTCCCAGCCCCTTAAATTCTGTATTGAAACAAAAAATACACATCTTCATGGGTGGGAAAGTAAACAGTTTTCAAAGAATGCTCTGTGGATTTTAGAAAAATAGAACCAGGGCCGGAGATTTGGCTCAGTGGTTCTGCCACCTGCTTCACAAGTGCAAGGACCCGAGTTCCATCCCCGGTACAAATAAAAAAAAAAAAGGAAAATAGAACCAAGTTAAAGGAAGATTTTGAAGCTGAAAGCATTTAAAAACATTAAAGCATTGAAAAGATGTGATATTTCAGCACGGTGCAGGGGCACATGCTTGTAATTCCAGCTCTTAGGGTGCTGAGGCAGGACAATGAGTTCAAAGCCGGCCTGGGCTGCATGGCTGCATGGTAAGTTACGCAGGGAGACTCTGTCTCCAAAACAAAAACAAATGAATAAAAAACTTTTAATATTTCACCAGGTCAATAGTTTGAGTTTGGTTTGAATGATAAAAAAATTGGCAACCTAGTTGAGCTCGGTACCATATCCTACATACAGTCCCAGCACTCAGGAGGCTGAGGCAGGAGGGTCACAAGTTCAAGGCCAGCCTGGGCAATTTAGTGAGATCCTGTCTCAAAATAAAATACAAAAGGACTGGGGATTCAGCTCAGTGGTTCCATCGCCTGCCTCAGAAGCGCAAGGTCCTGAGTTCGATCCCCGGTACCAAATAAAATAAATAGATAAAAAACAAAATAAAATACAAAGAGGCTGGGATTAGGCTCAGTGGAAAGGCACTTGTCTACCACGCAGGAGGCTCTGGGTTCAGTCGCCAGCACCACACACAGATAAAAACAAAAAGGTGCTGTGAAATGACTCGGAAAGCAAATCCACGAAGATGAACAGTGTGTTGGAGTGGGAGGGGAATGAGGGCAGGCTGGAATAGTCAAGGCCGAGAAGAGGTGTCCTCCGGATCCGAGAGGCTGGGTGACAGATGGTGACTTACTCTCAGGGACTCCCAGAGAAAGGTGAGGAGTTGGGGGAGGAGGAGGAGCTCTGCTCAGGGCCCTGAAGCTCCGGCCAGAAGCTGAGCAGCAGGCGAAGACTGTGTGGTGCTGGGGGTCGAACCCGGCCTGGGCCTCTCACTAAATTGCCCGAGCTTGGCTTGAATTTGGAATCTTGATGCCCAGGTCTCCTCAGGTTCTGGGATTACAGGCATCCGCCACCATGCCCAGCTAGTGTCATTTTTTTAGGGTACATTTGCCCTTTTTTTTTTTGGTTTTTTGAGGGTCTCACTATGTAGTTCAGACTGACCTGGAACTCACTGTGTAGCCCGGGCTGATCTCGAACTCACAGCAAGCCTCCTGCCTCAGCCTCCCAAGTGCTGGGATTACAGGTGTGCGCCACCACCCCCGGCTGCCTTTTTTTTTTTTTTTTATTACCAGGAATCAAACTCAGAACCTTGTGCTTGCTAGGCAGGTGCAGCACCACTGAGCTACATCCCCGGCCCGAGCACCTTTGCCTTTACAATTATAATTGTTGGGCTGGGGGTGTAGCTCAGTGGTCCTGCTGCCTGCCTTGCAAGCGCAAGGACCCAAGTTCGATCCCTGGTACCAAAAAAACAAAACAAAACAATACCATTATAATTGTTTACAATTCAAAGGTACTGCACTGCCTCAAAAGCTTTGTGGAATCTGGGAGTAATAGTGCACACCTATAATCCCAGCACTCAGGAGGCTGAGGCAGGAGAGTCACTTCAAATTCAAGCTAGCCTGGGCTCCATAGTGAATTTAAGGGCAGCCTAAAGTACATAGCAAGACCCTGTCTCAAAAAGTAAGGGGCCTTGGCCAGGGATTTAGCTCAGTGGTTCCGCTGCCTGCCTTGCCAGTGCAAGGTCCCGAGTTCGATCCCCAGTACCAAAAAGTGAATAAATAAACAAACAATAAAACAAAATGTAACAACAAAACAACAGCATGTTGGTGCATGCCTGTAATCCTAGCACTTGGGAGGCTGAGGCAGGAAGATCACTAAATTTGAGGCCAGCATGGTCCATATATCTAGACAATCTTGGGGAAAAAAGTTATGTACGATTTCTGCAGCACCACAGCCCTGAGAGGAAGCCGCCCCTTAGAACCCTAAGGCCGCGCTGAGCCTTTCTGGTACAAGACTTCGCACGGGCCGGCTGCCCTTAGCAAAGCTGCACTGCACTCCCTGAAATCTAGGGTGGCTTCTCTAAACCCAGATGCTGCACTCCTGTGATCCTAGCGCGTGGGGAGACTGAGGCAGGAGGAGCCAGAGTTGGGGCCCAGCCTAAACGACTCAGGGAGACTCAAAAATTTCAAAAGGGCTGGGGAGGTAGCTAAGCATGGAGATCCTGGGTTCAATTCCCAGGACTGCAAAAAGATTTTTCTACTAAAACACATGGGTGTGTAATAGCCACTGGTGCATTTTTTTTTTTTTCTTCTACATTGCTGTTTCTACTGCTTGGTTTTTGGTTTTGTTTTCATGCTGCAAAGGTATCACTATAATTAGACAAATGATAAAATCTAAAATAATGATTGTAAAGGTGGCCCAGAAATTGAGATGGCCATGGCATTTTATGCTATGTCACTGGCAGAGCGCCTGCAGCTCTCCTGCTGACAGACCCCATCCCGGTCACACTGCACCCCTACATCCCAGACCCTCAGGCTAGGACCTCGGAGTCCTCCTCGGCCACCTGATGGCTCCCAGCCCAGCGCTCTTGACTCATGGCCATGCACACCTTTGTTAGCTTTTTATTGAGGTGCCACATGCTTTGTTGTTTTGTTTTTTCTTTGAGATGGGCTTGCTATGTAGTTGAGACTGGCCTTGAACTCACTGTGCAGCTGAGGCTGGTCTCAGACTCACAGCGATCCTCCTGCCTCAGCCTCACAAGTGCTGGGATCACAGCTGTGCACCACCTCTCCTAGCACCACGTGCACTCTTTAAGTGCACAAACCCTAAACGCACGGCTGAATTAACTGAGCTGTGTAACCCTCACCCGGTCAAGACAGCGCCACTCCCTCCACAAGTCCGCACGCCCTGCTCCTGGCCCTGCCTCCCTCCTCGCCCCCCGGAGGAGCTGGAGGAGCTGTCTGTTTGAGGGGCACTCGGAGTGCGGTCGTCTGGCTCTGCTTAACCCTCGGTGAGGCCCAGCTGTGTCACCACTTACTCCCAGGCCCGTGTGAGAGTCCACCGAACAAACACCACGGCTGTATCGCGCGAGGACATCTGGGCTGTTCCCGGCACCGGGCTTTTCTGAGCCAGGCCGCTGTTCACGCGGTCTTGGGACCACCTTTTCTTTATAAAGTGGGCCCCAGCACTGTCTTCATCTTCATCTGTTTCTTTCTCTACAGCACACCATTAGCGAATGGCAAACTGTTTTCTATATCGCTGCTGCTATCAATGTATTTGGGGCCATTTTCTTCACACTGTTCGCCAAAGGCGACGTGCAGACCTGGGCCGTCGGCGATCACCACGGACACAGAAACTGAGGACGCCGATAAACATTGTCTCCCTTGTTCCGTATCATGTAACCTGAGTGCCTTCGGGTTCTAATGTGTAAGGATTCTGTGTGCAAACCGGAGCCTGTATTAAATTTGTAAGGCCCGTAATCATGACATGTCACTGTTGCCGGACTGGTAAAGTGAGCTCTTTTCAATTACTAATTTCCGCTGGGCCTGGACCTTATGCTTTTGGCTCCACGCCTGCTCGAAAGCCAGGCTACATGGGCAGGGCGTTCTGGGTTTTAAGGACCCGGTTCCTTGGCTCAGTGAAGCGCAGGGCTGATTCGGTCTTGGCGAACCCCTGCTCCGCCTCCTTTCCTCGCATGGCTCTGTTACGGCCTCACCGCCGGTGCTGTCCCCACTCTCTGACCCAGACCCGGACCTCAGGCAGCGCTGGCGCCACCTGCATCTGTGGTCTTTGCTCTCCCGGGGCCGCAGTGAGGGCCCGGAGGCTGCAGGAGCCGAGCTGACCCTGCCCCAGGCGGACACCCAGACCCCAGGTTCTTCCTCAGGAGGACCGGCCGGACCCGAGGGTGTAGTGCCAACTTCTGCCTTTTCATCCGCATCAGAATTAGAAAAACAAAACATGTAAGTCCGGCTTTTTCTTTACTCTACCTCCCTGAGGCTCCCGGCACAGCCCAGCTCCAGCCTGGCCTTGAAGGGCTCCGGGCTCAGCCCCCCGCGCTGCAGAAAGGAACTGAGGTCCAGGTGGCTCTGAGGCCGGTAAATCATCTTCATTTTGATTTCTGAAATCGTATTTTTGCAGCTTTTTTCCTGACTCCTCTGTGGTGTTTCCTTTTGTTTGTACCCGGGATTGAACTCAGGACCTTGTGTTTGAGGCAGGCACGGTGCCACTGAGCTAAGTCCCCGGTCCTCCTCTGTTTGTTGGTCGTACTTGAGGGGTATAAATGGACTCCAAACTTGGTTTACGCTTTATTGTATTTGTTCCACACTCCCTGTAACATTTTAATTAATTAAAACTTTAATGTAATGCCATGAGAATATTTATGTAAATTTATTTTAAAAATCTGTATCAACTGCTTCAAGTTGCTATGATGATATTTGGTAAATCAGTAAACCTTTGTGGATTGACCTCGGTCCGGCGGTTCTGTGGTACTTTCCAGTGCCCCGCGGTGACAGCTCTGCCTCCATCCCGATCCACCCACTTCCCGGGTACTTTCTGGGCCCGTCCAGCCCAAGAGCCTTCCTCAGTGACCTCTCCACGGCTTGAACCGCCCTCCTTTGCTTTCTGTCTCAAAGATACACAAGTCTTCTTCGGCCTTTAAGCAAAATACAAGTCTCCTGGGGGACGCAAAACCCATCTATCCAGAAAACGCGCAGAACGAGAACCTGGAAACCGCGGTTCCCCCCAGAGAAAGCCCGTCCCAGGAGGAAAGGAGCGCGTTTCCACTTAGAATGCGGCGAGTGCGTTTCCAGTCCCAGACCCCTGCCTGTTGCTCAAGCTGCTGTGTGCCCGCTCCGCCTCCGCCACTGTCACGGAGCCGGCTGTCCCTGCGACCCTCCTTTCTCCTTGCAGAAGCACCACTTCCTGGCCCCTCGGGCTCTTCCCTCTTCCTGACCAACTCCTGTCTGTCCCTGCCACGCTTCGGGTTCTTGGATCTTTATTCGTCCCTCTAAATAAAAACCCTTGGCTGTGGCTCCCGCCTGGGGAGGGAAGCAATGTCCTCCCGGCAGCCCACCCTCGCTGAGGAGACGTCTCCCCCAGTCCCCTCCCAAGCTGTATCGCTGACCTGACCTCCAGCGCCGGGGCTGTTAGGAGGAAGGGATCTTTCCCTCACTCCACGAACAGAAAGCACCTGCTCCCCCAGACCGTACGGAAGCCGGGACGCCTTCAGCAGGCCCTCTCCTGCCGAGGCTCCGGACACGTCTGCGTCTCCCCGTTGTTCTCCGCGCATCTTTCGGCAGGATCCACGGAGTCATCTCAGCCTGGTCTCGCTCACCACGCGTGCTTAGTGCACTGCAGCTGCATAATAAATACTTGGCCAATTACAAACCATGAATTCAAATTCTTCATCTCATTGTTTTATATTCCTCCTCCAAAAAAGTTAAATGTCTTTAACCTTTTTTTTTTCTTTTTACCAATTCTAGGGTTTGAACTCAGATCCTTCACACTGAGCTACATTCCCAGCCTTTTATGTGCATGTGTATGTATTTTATATGTTGAGACAGGTTCGCACTAAATCGTTAAATTGCCCAGGTTGGCCTGAAGCTCTCGATGGATCCTCCTGCCTCAGCCTCCCAGAGTGCTGGGGTCACAGGTGTGCACCACCACACCCAGCTACTTCATCACAACAGTTAAAGGCTCATAACCTGGGTGTGGTGGAGCACACCTGTAATGCCAGCTTTACAGGCAGCTAAATTAGACAAATTAATATACAGAGAGGGACTCTGCACTCAAGGAAGTCGGCAGAAAAAGACATCAGAATTATGGCTGGAGGCGCATCTGAAGGGACCAGGCCTCAAGATAAAGCCGGAGTAGCCAGGCCTGGTGTCGCACGCCTGTAATCCCAGCACTCGGGAGGCTGAGGCAGGAGCATCGCTGTAAATTTGAGACCACCCTGGGCTACATAGTGAGTTTCAGGTCAGTCTCAACTTCACAGTGAAACCCTGTCTCAAAAAACAAAACAAAACAAAAAGGTAAAGCCTGAATGCCCAGGCCTACATGCAGCCCAGAGGGATAAATCCTAATCTGAGATTACACTATACTCAGTATCACCTGGAAGTCCAGCTAGGCATCAGCAGCCAAGGTGGGGGAGCAGCACCTCCCACCGCCCTTCCCAAGAATGCCTTTGTTGCCTCCCTGCGCCCTCGTCAGGGATTCCTTACCCACATATCAATCAGATCAATCAATACCGCTAAGAGGCTGCACTTGTGATCCTAGAGGTGCTCCTCGTTTGACCCATGTTGTCCTCACCTCGTGACGCTGCTCTCTAAAACATTCTTAGAAGGCCCAGGATTAGCTCCGTGGTCACGCTGCCTGCCTCGAAAGTGCAAAGTCTCAAGTTTGATCCTGATACCAAAAAAGTCTCCCAAAACCAAAAGTCAAACACACAAACAACAACAAAAAAAAAGAAATTAAGGCACAAACCAGGTGACTCTGAGGCCAGCCTGGGCTACGTGGCAAGATTCTGTCTCAAACAAAAATTCAATTTTTTTGGTTCTTTTTGAAACAGGGTCCCAGTATAGTTCAGGCTGGCCTGAAACTCATGGTAACGCTACTGCCTCACCCTCCTCAGTGCTGGGATGAGAAGCACCCACCAACATTCCTGAGATCAAACAGAAATTCTTTTGGGGGGGTTTGTTTGTTTGTTTGTGGTATGGGGGGATTAGAACTTGGGACCTTCCGCTTTCAAGGCAGGTGGCAGAACCACTGAGCTAAATCCCCAGCCCCAAACAAAAATTCTTATAGTGAAGAAATGATGTCTTACAATGAAAACAATCTCATATTAACCTCAAAATAAGTGGCAATTATTGATAAGTGATTTTGAAAAGTAGTTGAGCCTTGTTCACAGGTGAAACACTCCCGACTCCTTAACAGAGATAACACATCCTCGTGTGCCTTCCTTGTTTTTCCTACAAGGGATCAGCACCAAGCACACCCCCTTTAGGGCCGGGGATTTAGCTCAGTGGTTCCACCATCTGCCTTGCAAGCGCAGGGACCCAAATTCGATCCCCAGCTCACCACCCGGTGCACCTTTCGAAGCTTCCTGAACACTGTCCCTCAGAGTGAGCTCCAGCCGAGACACCGCTGTCTGACCTTGGAGCAGGGTTACGGGAGTGCAGCAAACACTGAACCAGCAGCCGCGGGGCCATTAGAATGCTGCTCTGCAGCCCTGTTCCACTTTCAAGAAATCAGAAATACAGGTGTTTAAATTCAGCTCCCAGAGGCTGTGGTGGCACGCGTCTGTCATCCCAGCCCTCAGGAGGCTGAGGCAGGAGGATTGCCAAGTGCAGGGCCAGCCTGGGCTACATAGTGAGACCCTGTTTCAAAAAACAAACACAGGCCTGTGCTTGTCGGACCACGCTGCATAGCAGAGCCAGTGTCCACTCTCAAAGGGCGGCGCAGCTCCGTCCCGCTCACGCCCCACGAGGGCAACAGCAGTAACGTGTCTGCCGCCGCACACAATCACTGCGCCTGGCCACCCCAGCCGAGCAGCCCAGGCCCGGCCCAGCCCGCAGCCTGGGAGCCGCGTGTCCAAGGCAGTGTGCTGGCTTCACACACCGCAGAGCCTGGAGCTGTCCCGTCTGGTAAGCTCATCCTGCAGGCTGCCGGCTTGTTTGACCATCAGAGAAGCTGCGGCCTCTCACCTCGTGCATCGGCCTTCTCTTTTTCTGAAGCGGGGTCTTGCTAAATTGTCCATGCTGGGCTTGAACATTCAGTCCTCCTGCCTCAGCCTCCCACATCACTGGGATGGAGGCCTGCGCCACCACGCCCACTGCCTTCACTTCTCACCCACACAGTAAAACAGAGCCTCTGAGCTGGATGTGCTGTCATCTCAGCACCGGGGAGGCTGAGGCAGGAGGATCACTGAGAGTAGGCCAGTCCATGCTACACAGGAAGACCCTGTCTCTAAAAAATTGTACTTAAAAAATAAAAATGGAGGGCCGGGGATTTAGCTCAGTGGTTCCACCACCTGCTTTGCAAGCACAAGGACCCTAGCTTGATCCCTGACACCAAAATACATAAATAAATAAATAATAGAAATGGAGCCTCTGAGGCAGAGGAGCAGAATTTCCTGTCTAGGATGACTGGCAGGAGCTGCGTGTGGGCAGACCACGGTGCACTGCGTTCGGCCTTCGAGTCCTGGTTCCTCCACGGAAGAGGAAGGAGAGCAGGGCTGACTACCAGAGGATCTGAATAGTCGGATGAACCCGAGCTAAAGGGGCTGAGGACATGGGGAAGAGGCAGGCACAGCACACACCTGTGATCCAGCACCAGGTGGCTGAGGCAGGAGGATCGCCTTGAGTTCCAGACAGCCTGAACTATGCGGGGAGACCCTGTCTCAACCCCACCACCACCACCACACACACAAGGGAAATGCGGGTGAGCACACGCTCGGAGCTGAATGCAGGGCTGGCAGTGACATGATCTTGTAAATGGCCGGGTCTCAAGTCCCCTAAGTGTAGCCCTGGTGCCGAGAGCCGCCCAACGCCAATGGGCCAGTTATTTATTTCCCACGGCAACCCCACCCACCACACAGGCCTCAGTCCCAGCCTCTCCCGAAAGCGAGAGGTCGCAGAGCCGGGGGCAGACACAGACTCGACCAGGGCGGCACTCAGATCCTGACTCTTCTTCTGGGCCTGTCAAGGGCCAGCAGCTGTGTACCTCTCCACGCGGTGATTCATCCTAACACGGTGCCGTGGAGGCTGAGGCAGCGGGAACCCGGGGAAGCCGGGGTGACTCACACTCAGCGGCCTCTGACTCAGGACGTCCGGCCGCAGGAGGACGTGGCCCAGCCCCCAGGTCGTGCCCACACCGCCCTCCTCCCTCCCTGACCTGTGTCTACACGGCCACTCCCAGAAGGAATGGCTGGGGGGCGTGGCACTGGGCAAAAATGACTTTCTTAACCCCCCTGACTTTAGACTAAAATGCAAAAATAAAATAAAATGCAAAATTAGCTCTAGAGTCTGAAAAACAATAACTTTTTTTTTTTTTTGTACTGGGAATTGAACTCGGGTCCTTGCATTTGCGAGGCAGGCAGCAGCACCACTGACCTAAACCCCTGACCCCTGCAAGATTGTGCCAGAGGATCGGAAATAGCAATGCTGAAAAACTCCCAGCTATGGGATCTAAAGGCAGAGGTCCCGAGGTCGGGGACACACAACAGTGCCCCAGGGTGGACCCTACGGGGCCGTTTCTGTTTTGGTACTGGGGATTCAACCCAGGGCCTTCCTGCCTAGCTGCACCGCAGACTTCTTGCTTTCCTCTCTTCTCCTTCCCCTCCCCTGCCTTTTCTTCTCTTTCCTCAGGTGGGTGGGGCCTTAGCAAATTTTGAAGTTGTCCGGGCTGAGCTCAAACTTGGGATGCTCCTGTCCCCACCCAAAGTGGAGCCCTCCGTCCCTCAGCCCAGCCAGGCGCTCATGCAGGCCAGGCCAGCTGCAGCCCTGGACGGCTGGGCAGTAATCACACAGCGGAAACGGGCCAGGCTTGATCAGAATTCAGGAAAAGGGCCGGGGATTTAACTGGGTGGTGCCGCCTAGAAAGGGCAGGGCCCAGAGTTTGATCGCTGGTACCAAGGAAAAAAAATTGGGGAAAATGGCTAGGGATTTGGCTCAGTGGTTCTGCCACCTGCCTTGCAAGTGCAAGGAGCTGGGTTCGATCTCTGGTACCAAAAAAAAAAAAAAAAAAAAAAAAAAAAAAAAAAAAAAAAAAACCAAAACAAAAATAAGGGCCGGGGATTTAACTGGGTGGTGCCGCCTAGAAAGGGCAGGGCCCAGAGTTTGATCGCTGGTACCAAGGAAAAAAAATTGGGGAAAATGGCTAGGGATTTGGCTCAGTGGTTCTGCCACCTGCCTTGCAAGTGCAAGGAGCTGGGTTCGATCTCTGGTACCAAAAAAAAAAAAAAAAACCCAATTCAACATGCATTTTTTGTATTTTGGGAGGAATGCTTAGACCTAGCTGGGCACTGTGTGTCTGCCTCTGTCAACTCTTTGGAGACCTGCTGTTAACACCTGTGAACTGAGCTTCATCCCATGTTTCCAACAAACACCGACAGATTCATGTTAAATTGCCCAGGCTGGGTTCCAGCTTGTGGTCCTCCTGCCTCAGCCTCCCGGAGTGAAGGGATCACAGGTGTACACCACCAAGGCCAGCTCTCTTTGGAGTTCATGGAGTATTGAGCCTAACATCGGACCAGTGCTCAGTGGAGAAGTGGCTGAGACAGAGCAAATGAATGATTGAACAGGGAGCTGTGTGCACGTGGCCGGGCACGACTGATCCCAGCACTTGGGAGGCTGAGGCAGGAGGATCACCTCGAGTTTGAGGCTG